GGGGCAATGAGGTGCAAAAAAAACAAGCACCCAAAGTGGGTCAAACATAATAATAAATGAAAGACTAGAAAGTAAAACATAACAGAATTTAAAGACCTGTCACAAAACGGGGTAGCCGTATAAAAAAAGAAGAAAAAATGGCATTCGGGAAAAGGAAGGAATAATATTCGTCCCGGCTCACAGAAAATTTCGTGCTTACTGTATGATTCAACGATTTGCCGCCGTCGTTATATTCATTATTAAAGCCTGAGTCTACGTGGTTAAGTAGATTAAACACCATAGTCATTGGTATTTTTATATTTAGAAGACCAATATTTAGATTTGAAAATAATAAGCTAAACAATATTTGAGTATCTTAAATAAATTTTACAGTACTATTATTGCTGTTGAAGTTTATTTAAAATATAGGAAGCGTCTAGTTTGTGTACTTATATCAGGAGAGTCTTGGATATTTTATCATCACTACATTCTATTTCAAATCGATAATCGATTTGCTGTCAATTTTTAATTCATTTTAATAATATGTTTTTTTTGTCTACCATCCAAGCAAAGTATTTTGAGTTTCGTTAATTATTTTCGACCTTGCAGAAAAGCCTCTTTCCACTATTACTAAGTATTCACCACCTAATGATATTCCCAGCATTTTCCGAGAAATATATCACGATTCTACTTACAAGTGCCAACATTTTTATAGCCGATTTCACACTCAATTAATGATAAAAATCTTTAGCAAGCTCAGGCTTAAGACTCAGATTAAAAGGATGTTATCGCCAACACTGAATTTTTAAATCTGTTTACTGAGTACATTTACACACATGTTCACATAGTGTAATCTCTTGCAAGATTGTAAAAGTACTTAAGATCGAGTGTATGATGATGTAGAGATTGCGAAACCTGTCGTGTAATAGAACATTATTTAAGCCTTTTTAAGCTCCGTGATCGTTGAAATTTTCAAAAGTCTATTGATCAGTTGAAAAGTGTTATGCTAAATTAACTAGGTAAATCCTCATCTTACTTTATGAAGATTGAGGTAATAGTGTCAATTATGTGATCGAAGTGTATGAGAATATAAGAATTAAGTGATAGATTTGAGTTAAAATAATGGCACGCATATATGACGCCACATATTTTGGCATTGAATCTTGAATATTGAAACAAAAACAAAACAGATTACTCGCCTCGCCTTAATAGTGTTCCAAACTACTCTAATTATTGTTTAGATTTCAACCATTAGAAAGTTTACAATCCCCTTTCAAACGAATCATTGATCTTCGTTATTATTCCGTAGTTATCGAAGTTTAGTTTATTATGACTCCATAAATGTAGTAATATTCTTGATAACGTTCAATAACGATGAAAATCTCCGAAACTGCTCTGTTATTGATTCGAAAGGTCGACAGTGAAATGGAATAAAATAAATGTCCTGCAGCCTCAGCACTTGTTATTTCCTTACCTTTATCCTTAATCTCATTTTATTCTCGTCCATGTTGATCTCTTAATGATTTCTTATCGCCTTTACTCTCCTTTCGCAGTATTTTCATTGTTATATAGCGACCAACGTTTTGGATTTACAAAAATGGTATGTAACCTCTTTTATGTTGTCTAAGCTCGATAGTAGAATGGTGACTCGTTTGGTCTATGTTCAATGTTTGCGTAGGATAACCAAACTTCTCTAAAATATTAGAATCTCTAAGTAAATGGATGATTGAAAATCAATAGTCTCGAGTTTTTTATATCAAATTGTCTCGAATGAGTGATACGAGGGTGTCACTCAACTATTTAAAAAAATATATATATTTTTGCTAAGTGTGAATTTGATAGCATATACAATTTTTGAAAATTTAAAGGTACAGGGGTTGTGAAGAGGAGGTCAGGGTCACCTAAAGAATCGAAAAAAAAAACAAAAAAATCTGTTTTTTTCTTTTTACATATTAAGATATCATAAAATATCAAGAACCCCGGATTTGCATCTCAGTCGCTAATTCGGGTTATTTTTAGAATCTTGAAACAAAAATTGAATAGACTACTCGCCTTCTAAAATAGTGTTTCAAACTACTGTGACTTTAACTATTAGAAAATTAACAATCCTTTTTTAAAATCATCATAGATCTTTTTTGTTATTCCATAGTTAATGATGTTTATTTAATTATGACTCCATATCTAATATCTTAATATTCTTGATAATTTTCAATACCTACAGTCTCGAGTTGTCTTGATATGAAATTGTCTCGAATGAGTGATAAGACGATGTCACTCGACTATTGAAATAACATTTAAATTCACTTAATAAAATTTTCGCATAGTTAATGCTGTATTTGATTCTTTCAGTTTCCGTGGTCACAAAACTGTAAAACATCTCGCTTAGTAATCTTAAAGCCCTTTCTGTCATATGATTGGTTAGATTAGGAAAATAAAGAACAGACAGACATTTGACTTTTAAAACTTGAAGAGGATTCTTCTAAAAATAACCATTCCCATCTATTTTATTCATAAAGTAGCATGCATCTCCGTACCCGCGTCTATGTTACTCTATGGTTTATACTCTTTTGTTGTTTTAATCAGTATGTGAAATCTCCCTTTTTGTTCATCAAAGCTCGTTATCTACCATCAGTCATTAGGACATGCCCCATTTTCCATTTTGCTCTCCGTTCCAAACTGAATTCACGGATAATTTGAACATTTCAGAATCATATTGATAAGATCAGCGTCTCCTTTTAAAATCAGCATTATTATTACACGGAAACGATTTATTTGCGTGCGAATTTAAAAAGGGTATGCTGTTTTTAATTTTTGTAATTTTAAAGAGAATCGAAATATTATACCATACACATTTCGACCTTTAAATCCACAGACACATAATGATGAGACATTTAAATGAAATACTAATAAGAGTCAGAATTTGGGTGCCCGTCTGGGGAAGGAACTTCCACCTTACAGAAGATCACAGCAAACATACTAACTTTATGATAATACTGCCTTTTGGTGGTCTTGTATTTTTATCGGCGAATAAGATTATAATCTATTTAATTTTTTAAAGCATGTAACTGCTTGATGCTTAAATCTAAAGAAAATATAACTAGAAAAAATTCCACGCTGACCAGGCAGCAGACGGGACTCGAACCCGCAACCATCGCAATCCGGGCGAATGCACTGACCAATTATGCTACCGCGGCCCTCAGGGACCGCGTCGAAATTCTTCTAGCCATTCTTAAGCTGCAAGGCTGCCCCATCTCTTCGCATTATAGGTAACCCACAATGTCAAATGAATACTTTTACAAGTATTAAACATTTGAAAGAAGAAATAGCAATTATAGTTATTATTTTTTTCTTAAAGCATGTAACTGCTTGATGTTTTAATCTAAAGAAAATATGACTAAAAATTAAAAATTATAACTATAATTGCTATTCATTGGTCAGTGCATTCGCCCGGATTGCGAAGGGTGCGGGTTCGAGTCCCGTCTGCTGCCTGGTCCGCGTGGAATTTTTTCTAGTTATATTTCTTTAGCGAATGAGATTTCAAGACTTCACGGGTCAGGGACTTGATTGGGTCAGGGCAGGCTAGTGCACCAGTGATATATTTAGTATCGCAAGCGTCTTTAGGCTATGGTGGCCGCTACCATTAAGTGGGACAAACGCTTCTTTGTCACCCATTTAACATAAAAAATCGTATGTCACCTGTTGATGTTTTTTTGGGAAACATCCCAAACCAATGTAAATTTTAACTAAAATACTAACTATTAATTAATACCTAGTTACACATATACCCAGCTATTTATTTATCTCGTGTATATCCACTTCTAATGCTATGCAGACACCACAAGGCAAACATGTCTTAAAGCTTATATAGAGGAACATTACATAAACTCAACTTTAATCAAAGTAAATTCACCGTTTAAACTTCATATTTGACTACTCATGCCCTGTATAAGGTCGCTGGATAAACTAAATTAACTCGGCAACACGCAGCAGCGTCGCAACACTAACGAGCGACTGTTTAGCCGAGTGAAAACGATGGTTCATTATCTGCCTCGACTGCTAGTTGGGTTAAGGAGTTAATTTGATATAGCATTCAAGTCCGACCTGGCGGACGGATGCTGTGATATCAATTTATTCTGTTTTGTAAAGTATGTAGTAAAGAACAAAAGTCGTCTAAAATTATAGTCATTTATTAAAGCTGTCGAAACCGCAAAATCCAGTGCAACTGTTACAACGTTATTACATGCGACAAACTATGCGTTTACCACTTAGTAGCTATAGATATTATATATTTGTTATATTGCTTTTAAACTACCTTCATAAACGAGATTTTGGGATTGTTAATTCTCTACCCCACCTGATTTTGAGTGGTGATAACAGTGATCCAAACAACTTACTTATGTATGAAATTTACTGAGTTTTTTATTTCTGTAACTACATACAAATGATTGGTACATAGGATCGCTTTGCTCGTCATAAATGATTGTTGCTAAAACTAATATTTTACAATGGTGCAGAAACCTTCGTGTGTAAGTCAGACTCGTAATAAAAGAGATTTATTATTTGAGACAGTAACCAAATGTATATATTTATATTTTACTGTCTAATAACTTAGTTGAATAAATTCATATAAAAGGAATATCTGAATCCTAAAATATTTCAATATGATTGAATTAATTATGTCTTCTTGGAATAATGTAATATTAAGAGGTTTTCAAGGTTAATTAGGACTTACTTTTTATAAATACTTAATCAGAAAATTCAATGATATCAAAGAAGAACTGTTTTATTTTATAAATTTAGCGAGGAATAATGAGTTGGCTGTTTAATTATTTTGAAAGGACAGCGTGAATCGGCTTGTTTGCTTTCATTTCTTATGTTTCGTCCCCTATTGATTGTAAGTCACATAAAGGGCACTCGGCTATTTACCGTCGAAGATATCCTCCGGAAATTCCAAAGACGTAGAAATTCCAAAGGAGTCCATCTTACAATCTCATTACGAAGCAATTTTCTTGTTTCCACAGGTAGCCGAAACATCCTCAGATTAGATTAGATAGCGGGCAAGACGACGACGCGACGTGAAAAATACAGAATAAAAATGCCATTGGTGAACGAAAACACGATAAAAATGAGATAGCAAAAGTACTTTAACGTGTCAACAAGAAACGAGTGTTCAAGAAGTGTTCGAAATAAAAAGAAGTGATAACAATTGTTTCAAATCAAATGGTGATGGAAGTGTGTACGAAATCGATTATAATAATGGTGAACATGAAGTGCTAATGAAAAACAAAAGTTATTGCGATGAAAGTAGTAGTTAACTTAATCTAGTCCCCGAAGCATATTGTGATAAACTAGTCAAATGTACAAAACATGGTAGCCGTACCGATATAGCTGGTGTAGCTATACGTTTAAATGAGGCTGGAATTGTGAGTGACCATGGGTTGTAAGCTGGGAAAGATGGTGGCTTCGGAGAGGCAGCGCGGGGGAAACACCAACCAGGACTTGGGTGGCGGTCCGCCGCCGGCGACGGACCCGCGGCTGCCACTCACGGCGAAGCAGAAATACTCGATGCTCGCCTCCTGGAAGGGCATCTCGAGAGCGATGGAGAAAACCGGCATCTGTATGTTCATAAAGTAAGTGGTAACGATAAACTTTACAACGATCTTTTTAATTTAACTTTAAATCATTTATTCAATCTAGGATATTACAAGCTCTTATCAAACGCTATACCATCAATCCGCAAGTCTACGGTGGGAGACTTAGGCCGGTATTATAGAAAGATTCTCAGTAATTAATCTAGTCTTGAGCATAGTTAGAAAGGGATGTCACTATATATAGCACAGAGCGACATCCCTTTCAAACTGTACTCAAGTCAAGATCAACACTTCGTTGTCATTCTGTATTAATACAGGCCTTAGTCCTGAGACGAAGCGGCCAGAAACTCAATAAGTGCTATTTTTTCTCCCTGATTTTTTTCATTAATTCAGTTCGCTAAACTGAGAAAATGCTATACGTACATTTAAAGGCGCACTCTACTCCTATGCTGCTGTTTTTGCATCGGGCTGAAAGTTGATGATGCTAACACTGTTGACTTTGAGAATAATGAAATTACTGTAATCTAATTTTAGGATGCTCACAAAAAGTAATCAAATAATTTTACTTCTTTTCACAATGTTAAACCTACTTTGAATATGTAAATGAGGGGTATAAAGATAAATTATTAACTCAAACTGATAAATAATTATAAAGATGTATTTTTATATTTTCAATGTTTTTTTTTAACATTTTGCCGATTCGCAAATAAACAACCAAGATACACATCGATTCGGACCATTGCGAACAAAATAAATGAATACCTACTTTATAGAGGGTCGTCCAATACATTGCTAGTTCACGTCTCACGCCCGAGCTGAAAGAATACGTGTCTTTATAGTTTCTGTCTCGTTTGGCTCACGTAGACCGTAATATGCTACGCTATTGGATCGTGAGTCTAACGTCGATGGACCATAACGAAAAGATTTTCGATAAAGAATTTTAAACAATTGTATTGTTACTATTAAATTTCGTCTACAGGAATATTATTTTCTCTCGTTTTATTACTCGCCATGATGTTAGAGGGTTTGCGTGTGAAACTTATAAAAGCTGTTTGTGTTATTTGTGTAGTATAAATGCTTTGTTTGAATCGAAGCGGGGCTCGCTGTAAAATAAAAAGAACATAAGTGTTATTAAATAAAACTAGTTTTTACGAGTTAATACACGAAACTTTATTTATTTATTGACGTTTCGTAGCCTTTACAGGCTACGTCGTCAGAATCAAACTTTTATTTAATTTGTCGAGCTACCTTCGAAAGACTTTTGTTGAGCGTTCGGTTATTTCATTGTTCGATTTTTAAAGTTTTATTGTCTATGTATGAATTTATTATTTAATTTACTTAATAAAGTATTTTATTTAAAATTCTTTTTTGTAATTTTGAGTTTATTTATTTGACCCTAACTACCGTAAACTACCACCGGTTCCAAAATTGGGAGACCTTTCTGAGAAGTACCGGCGAAACACCGGTTCTTCTCGGTTCTTTCCCCTTTCGTAACCCGTAAAAACTAGTTTTATTTAATGAGTGATGTGCGTGAAAACCTAAGAAACAAATAAGTGTTATTACTTTGGAAACAGTAACGCTTTCTCCACAAACTCTTAGAAAAATATTAAGTAAGTTAATAACTATGAAGCTTGTTTTATAACGATACCTAACGTATAATAGGATATTTTGATTTAACATTAACCACCATTTCAAAATGGTGGGCATCACATATTCCCATTTCATTCTACATACGTAAAACCAGCTTCACCATCAGGAATCATCGGAACACATACATAACAACAGAACAAAAACAGTACCGATTTCCATTTTTATGGATGCAAATTTCGTACGCCCTTGTAGAACAGTCGTTAGAATTGCTAAACTGGCAACAGACACGGCGGATCATTCAGCCACTAACGTTTCAACAAAAACTGTAGTATTATGACCATTGTCTCCCTACTTAGCAGTTATTTATTCAAGAACCCCAAGTGAATCTGCGACGTAAACGTATTTACATGCTTCATTATCATTTGGGGAATTGATGAGAGCATCGTCGTTGGTTCGCAAGATGAATTTTGAGCAACTTGGTAAGTGAGTTACTGAATTTATTGTTCACGATTTGAAATTTTCATGCGTACTGGCTGCTTAATTCAATCGTCGCTGAATATGAAACGAGTTCACGGGTGTCGTAGACGCTGCGTAGGTAAATATAGTTTTGCATAAACATAGTCTTTTGTAGGACACTATAATTTGCATGCAGCAGTCTTTAGCTTTTTGGTTTCTGATTGTGGGTGATAAGCAACTCCATTAATCGGTAATCTCCTATGTAACTTGTAAAAATATTCAGTAAAAATGTTTAAAGTTACTATAATAATTTTACTATTGTCATATTTTTTTGTCTTAATGTACCCGAACATTTATGTATTACCGTGACTTCCTCACTAACAATGTTCACCTCCCGAGTTTTGTCAATATATTGTAATGCGAACCATTTAGAAAAACTGAAATGTTAGGTCTTTGCGTTAAGCTAAGTTAAAATTTTGTATTGGTGAATAAATATATTTTTGTTTTTTTTTTGATTTTTTTGATTATGGCTTCTCATCGTGTAAGTATAGTTTTCCCATTCATTTATTTTCTCGAAGAATTAAATGTTTCTTAATGCTCATGCATCTACAATCTTAGATCCCACTAATCTTCATTTGTCAGTATTTGTCCTCTCATCTTCATCCTCTTTGTGATTCTGATGAAAGGCAAGTGTTGAATGTAACGAGTTTTTTTTTTTTTTTTATATATAACTTGGTAGGCAAATGACTCTACCCCACCTGATGTTAAGTGGTGACAAAGTCCAAACGCGAAGATAGCTGGTACAGCAGTTATAAACTGCAACACCAACCATCCTCACCGTGCCGGCCTGCAAAAATGCTTCTTCACGCCTCTCTTAAAAGACCCCAGATTATAGGAAGAATCCCACTTACGAATAGTACGACAAAAAAATAAGTCGCCAAACTTTGTTCGTGTAGGAATAGTGACCACAGTAAGTCATTAGCAACGTAGGCCAGCGCACGTGGTCCTCTGAAGAAAAGGTGATGGAGGGATAAGCGAGAATAGCTCCTCAGAACACTCGCCGTGGTATAGTCGGTGGAATGCGCTTAATGATGCCATATCACGGCGTAATTGTAGAGTTCCACATTATCATTACTTCGGAATAATAGTTATAACTTGTAGAGCAACAGGTTATCATGAAGACTTAAATTACTTAATCCGTTCTTGAAGTCTAGACACAAGATTAAGATAGAGATAAAATAAATAAATATTTCCAACATCACACCAATTAGCACTGTAAGGCTTGTGTTATGGGATAACTAATAGGATAGAAGAGAAAATAGGATGAGAAATTAATAGAATAACGGATAGAATACATATACTGTACATATATAATAATATTTATATAAAAATACATATTGAACGTCCATGACTGGAGTACAAATGCTTGTATTCATCACACAAACATCTTGTATTTTGACATTAGTTGAACCTAATTAGATTTCTCATAAAATCATCACAAATTCAGGTTGCCAGAGGCAACAAGTTTCTAAATTATACAAACTATTAATTAAGTAAATATCTGTGTACGCCAAAGTATTTAACCAGCAACCAAATCAAAATTTTCTGTTGTTCTTATTAAAGTATAAACGACATAAAACGATGAGAGGAACTTAAAACATAAATCAGTTTATAGAGTACACAATTGAAAATTTCATAATAAAAATCGGCGGTGAAACGATAAAAACAGGGCTCGGATCGTTTATAAAAATAACGTGGTTTTAATAGATATTTCACTTTCCAACTTGGCCGAGGGATAATAAAAGGTTGCCGGGGAAAACTAATCAAACATATCTGGGAAGACATTGGAACTTCGCAGCCGTCGTCTTTATAGGATTAACATTTTTTCTTTTCTTTTGTCTATTCCTTGCGCTAGGTCTTTTGTAGTTGAACTTCTTTACGGACGGCGTGTAAATGGAAAAATCCTATGGAAGAGATGAAACGGAAATGCGACACGAGCGTCAGATGACTATATATATATACTAGCTGTGCCCTGCGGTGTTTCCCGCGGTTCATTAGGGATATTTTCCCGCAGTAAAACGTAGCCTATGTGTTGATCCAGAGTGTCAGCTAACTCCATAATAAATTTTATTAAACTCAATCCAGCCGTTTAGACGTGAAGTAGTAACAAACATACACACTCACAAACTTTTGCCTTTATAATACATACTAGAGGTCGCCCGCTACTTCGTCTGCTTTGACTTAGGTTCTTGAAAATCCCTCTGGAACCTAACATTTTTCGGGATAAAAGTAGCCTATGTGTGAATCTAAGGTGTCAGCTAACTCCATACCAAATTTTATTAAAATCGCTCCAGCCGTTTAGACGTGAAGAAGTAACAAACATACACACTCACATACTCACACACTCACAAACTTTCGCCTTTATAATATTATATATATATATTATATTATAGTGTGATACCTAGTCAGGTCACAAGTATTGTCACACAGTAAAAACTTTTCTTTTAGAATCCTGGCCAAAAAAGTTTATTGAATTCGAATTTCGAATTGTTCAAGAAAATAAAAATTTATGCTTTTTAGAATTTTACTCATTTTTAAATATGGAGTGGACGCTTAAAGAAGACCGTGTGTGTTTGTGTGTGTGTGTGTGTGTGTGAGATGCGCGCGCAGCTCTTACCCACGAGAATGAAAGTTGAAGGGTAACTCAGCGAAGGCTGAAACACACGAGTGTTACGAGCTTCACATTCGACAAAATACGAGTATATAATATACTAGCGGCCACCCGCGACTTCGTACGCGTGGAGTTAGTTAGAAATAAAGGCTCACTGCTCGTTCCTAGTAGGTGATAGCGTGATAATATGTAACCTATATGTTGACCCGACTTCTTAATAATATTCGTGCCAAATTTGAAGTAAATCCATGCAGTACTTTTTGAGTTTATCCCGGACATACATGCAAACTGACAAACAGACGAAAATTCTAAAAACTATATA